TTCAATTAATTAAACTGGTGACCTGATTCTCCTTGGTTGTTTAGTGCCAAAGGCACAGTACGTACGTATACCACCTGATCCTCGCATCATTAAAGTTTATTTGTTAGTTTAATCGTGCGTATTGGACTTTATAAACGAATCCACCTCTACTTTATCTCTTTTCTCTCTAGTCTCAAGTCAACCGATATGTTATATTATTTCGCCCATTCAAAAAGAACCTCATAAAATAATTCTGGGATTGATTGGAAATTGTTGTATTTTATGTTTTTTTGCTTTAAAAATTTTGCTTAGATTTCTTGACCGTGACTTAAATTTTTTCTGTTGTACATTTGTTTTCACTGATAGTTGAAAGCACTAAATAAAAGCGGTAGAAAAAATAATTTCTAAAGGTTAAATATTTCCTTTTTAAATTTTTGGCTATAGATTCATTTTTAAATCTAAAACATACTCTATTAAAAGGGTTTTGGAAAGATAAATGCTTTATATAGCATCTAAAGCCCATTCCAATCAACTTTTATACTCCCTCCGTTTTTTTTGTAAGTTGTTTTGGTGTACACGTAAATTAAGACATTTACGTTCTTTTAAGAAATACTTATAAATATATAATTTTAAAATCATTCAACAAATTATAAAAAACTGTAAAATTTTATTGGTTGAACAAGTTAAAGTTAACTTTTAAATTTTAAAACATACCTTAAAATCTCAAAACATCTTATATTATGAAACAACTTAAACTATCTAAAACATCATATAAAAAGAAACGGATGGAGTATTATTTATCATTTAAAAACATTACAGAAAAAAAACTTAAGATATAACTTACTGTTTTACCAAAAAGAAGACTTTAGAAATGGAACTAGTAGGTTTCTTGCACTATGCACAGTTATGATGATATTTTTTTTTAAAAAAATATCAATATTTATTAAATTAAAATTTAATCTGTATGTTAATAATTTTCTAGATTCTAGTTTTATCAGTATCAAAAAAAAAACTTAACATAATTATTTGTAATTTGTTCTTATTTGGTTTAAAAAATTTTGTTTATATTTTCATATGTATTTAAGTTTTATTATAAACTAAACTATTTTATTAATTTATTTAGTGAAAAATACATTGAAGTAGTAAATATTAATTTACTAATTAATTTAACGACGAATATACAAGAATAAATTTAATAATTCGGAAACTTATTTACATCGAGTAAAGGTACAATTTAAAAACTTAATTATCTATGGCAAAACTATAATTATCTATAATTTTTTATTTTCAATTTCTAAAGTTGATATGAAACTTTTAAATATTTATAATTATGTTATAGTTCAATTTTTTAATAATGATAATACATAAGTTATTCTTATATCTAAGGAAACGTACCAAAATATAAACTTCATAAATGAAATGGTACATGTCATAATAAAATAAGAGCCATGTCATGTTTTATACTAAGTCAATAATTCTTCTTTCAAAATAAATGTGGTGTTGACACATGGTAAATCATTTCTTAAAAAAAAAGGATATATCACAAAAGTTATTAGGCCATTTTTATCCCACAAAAATCTACTAAAGGGTTTCTTAAATTTTTTTTTTTTTTACTTTTTGTCTGTAAAAAAAAACGAATCAATTGCGGACCGCCACGTGTCAGTGGAACCTGCGAATAGTGCAACAAACCCACCAAAAACATCTCTTGTTTGGGTGCTGCTGAAGCCCCTTTTTGATTTTATGTGACTCCCTCCCTCTTGGAGATGCGGTAAAGACCGCGATGTTGATGCCTTTAGAAGATAGAGAGGCAGCTGAACAGATCAAAGATATAGACTTATAGTTTAGTTAGGAATTGGGAGATATATTAGTTAGTGAGCTCACCTACCCAAACACTCATGGGACAACTTTTCTAATCTAAATATTGAAAATGCACCTTCTTTCTTTCATACAATATAAGTTGATTTCGTGATGTACCTTTTTGTATGGAAATCTGTGTTCTACTATTAATTTCATGTGATTTACGCACCTCCTGCCAATGTGTTTGTTTGTGCGGGAATGTTTTAAATATTACAATGTGTACATGTTCAGATAGTGTAAGCAAAAAAAGATTAAAAATATACTAATAACAATTTTACCACCAAAAAAATTAAACCTCAATCTAAAATAAGTTTCATTAAATGGATAATTGAAAACTAGTTTATTTTTGGGTCAACCATATGCATTATTCCGAAGTTTGAGGTAACCTACATAGGAGCATCTCCAAAAAAACACTCTATTTTAAAGTTTGCAAAACTCTATATATGAAGTTTGTAGGTGTTATGTTCCAAAAGAAAAACTTCAAACCTAACTTTAAAATTATTTGTATTTTATACTATAGTTCTTACATTTGTCATAACTAGTTCAAATTAATAAAACTTTTATAAATAACTAGCACATATATAAAAATATTACAGCAATATTAAATGATAAAATGTTACACTGAAATATGAAATTATTAATAGAAATATATAACTAAATATTAAATTATAAATAAAATAACACATTAAGTCTTGTAATATTGTTACTGTCTAATTCTAATTTTAACTATTTTAAATCTTATTTTGTTGTTTAAAAAAAATATGTGTAAAATATAAATTTATAAAAAATGAGGATATTTTTGAGATAGGAATTTTTAAAGGTTAAAATGATAAACCATAAAATATATAAGAATTATAAATATAATATATAACTGTAAGGATCTAAATGCAAATAAAAATAGAAAACTTCAAATATGAAGTTTTCACGTTTTTTTGGAAAACCAAAAACTTCATATTTGAAGTTATAGAGTGTCTTTTGGAGATACTCTAATAACCTACAATATTAGTTTTCTATAAAATCTTAAGATATTATAGATTAAATCATTAAATCAAAGATAACATAAACTAAAAATTCATCAACAAAAACCCTTAACCATGCAACTGAAAAAAATAATCCCAATCTAAAATAAATTTCATTAAATGGATAACTGAAAACTAGTTTATTTTTGGGTCGACCATATGCATTATTCCAAGTTTGAGGTAACCTACATAATAACCTACAATATTAGTTTTCTATAAAATCTTAAGTTATATCATAGATTAAATCATTAAATCAAAGATAACACAAACTAAAAACTCATCAACAAAAACACTTAACCATGCAACTGAAAAGTAGATGTATATAAGAGTGGACACGGATCAGATATCCAAATTTTTAGAGGTATTTGGTGTCCCATATAATCAATTATCTAATCTGATTCGATCCGTAGTTATCCGGATATTTGGTGTCCCAAATATTCGATTTTTTTTTGTATTTTTACTAGATAATCGAATTGATCCCTAGAAATAAAATAATTAAAACAAATTAAAAAATCCAAAATAATATTAAAGAAGAATAGTTTATTATAAAAAGTTATTTACCTTTTAAAGTTCTAATAACTAATATAATAAATAAAAATATTGCAAATTATATATAATCTATATATATATATATCTTTAAATATATGTACATAATGGATCAGATCCAATATTCGATCCTAGAAAAATTAGTATTTGGTGTCTCATATAATCAATTATCTCATTTGATTCGATCCGTAGCTATCCGGATATTTGGTGTCCCAAATATTTTATTTTTTTGTATTTCTACAAGATATTCGATTTGATCCATAGAAATAAAATAAATTAAAAAATCCAAAGTAATATTAAAGAATAATAGTTTATTATAAAAAGTTATTTACCTTTTAAAGTTCTAATACCTAATATAATAAATATAATAAATAAAATATTGCAAACTATATAAAATATAATATTTATATATATCTTTAAATAGATGTATATAATGGATCAGATTGAATATTCGATCCTAGAAAAATTAATATTTGTGATTTACTTCATTTTTTATGGATATTACATATTATTATTTGTTTTGATTCATATAATTACGAATACCCAAATTTTTCGATTAATATGAAGCGAATCAAAATTTACCGATGTTTTGCTCAGTCCATCCATACATTAAATGAAAATGTAAACTGAACTATATATAAATACTCGTATTAACATATAGCAATAATTGGTGTAGAAAAGGAGGTTATTTGCTATATGTATTAGAAATGTTATTTTGGTGTGACAAAAACTGAAAAAGAGATAAAATTATGGGACCCTAAAAAATTATTGAAGCTAGAAAAAAGCCAACAAGACACGAAACAGGCCACGAACGTGATCTGCCCAACAAAAAGGACTTCTGTTTTTTCACTCTGTAACTTTTCTAAAAAGCAGATAAAAATCTTATTTATGTTTTATCTTTCTTTTTCTGTGACCCATCCTTTGAGTCCAATCACATTTTTGTATATTAAAGTGTGTCCTTGAAAAGTCTGTCCGAAAGCAAAAGCGAAAAGAATTCAAACTGAAATCATGAAACATACAAATTACACTATTTTTTTCTTCCTAGTAATATAATTTTCAAAAAAATGTAGATAAAAAGACTTAAAAAGGGGAGAAAAACAGAGTGTCTCTTCTTTTCTTGTTATTCTGTCAGAAAAACAGTGTGTGTTTTTTGGCCTTTTCGTTTGGGATTTTGCTTGTTTGGTCCCTTTTGATGATATGATAATTCTTTTTTTCTCTCATTTTTATTTTGGTTGTAGAGAAAGCAAACGGGATTAGGTGATTAGGTAATAGTGGTGTTGAATAACAAGAAGCCTACTTTTAAACTTTTAAATTAGAATGTTGTTGAGATTAACTACTGAAAAATTACCCAAGTAAGAAACGATAATTAAAATATTAAAACCAAAGAGGCAATATCCCTCAATTGCTTTTTGCATTCCTTTTCTCAGATCTCTAGGAAAATTTCTCAGACTTCAGAGCATTTTGGTGGTTTTGTTTGCTTGGTTTCTCGGGAAAAATTCTCTTCACACACACTATCATAGTTTTCTTCTCTCTCTCTCTCTTCTCTTTCTTCTCGTTTAGTCACTAGCACTCATTCTCTGAATGCTTATTCTCTTTCTAAGCTTGTCTTCTCCCTTCATTCACTCCATTCGATTTGAAAAAGATTGCTCAAGGTAGCTTCTGTGTCTGAAAAAGACAGGTGAAGTTGAAGATAGGAGGGAGATAGGGGAGACAAAGGCAAAGTCTTTCATTCACATTTGGGAGAGAGAGAGAAAATGAGTTTGTGGGAGTTCTGAGAATTACTTTTCCAGATAGAAAAGCTGATTTCTTTAAGAGGGAATATTGCCATGGAAGGTGTGAGATTAGAGTTTCTGGTTTTAGCATGGTTCCTTGTTGTCACTTCTGCTACACTTTCTCCAACTGGTGTTAACTATGAAGGTCAGTCTTCTTTTTTATTCTTTGGTGTTTTGTTTGCCTAAACAGAGGATTTCAGATTTGAGTTTCTCTGAGCAATTCATCATCTTTGTTTGTCTATGTTTATTCATTTTTGCGAAATTTCTGGTGAATGTTTTGCGGGGATTGTGTTATTTTTGTATTTATTGGATAATAAATATCAGCTATAAATGCTCTCACCAGAACCATATATAAACTAACCAATACCAGCTCAACTTTTACTTCTTTTCTTTTCTGTGGAAAAATTCCCTCAGATACATTAAAGTCTTGATGGGTTTTTTTCTTGAATGATAGAGTTCTGTTTTTTTTTTTTCCATTTCAGTATAAAATGCAGCTTTTAGCAATAAAAGAATTCATAAGAGTTTTGAGGATAGATTTTGTATTCTCAATCTGAATTATTCATGTTTTTATTTGGTCTGACATGAGCAGTGACTGCTTTGGTGGCTATAAAGAATGAACTGAATGATCCCTACAATGTTCTTGAGAATTGGGATGTGAATTCAGTTGATCCATGTAGCTGGATAATGGTCTCTTGCACTGATGGCTATGTCTCTACACTGTGAGTATTCTCTCTTCTCTCTCTATTACACAAGACCAAGTTCAAATTAGATAAGATAGATCTTTGAGACTTATGTCTTGTCTGCTTAATGAAACAGGGGTTTTCCTAGCCAAAGCTTATCTGGTACATTGTCTCCTAGAATCGGTAACCTTACCTATCTACAATCTGTGTAAGTATTTTTAGTCTTCTTTGCTAATGTTTGATTCTTGTTCTATAGTTTTTTTTTATTGTTGTTGTTGAGTTAAGCGGTTGTGGTGTAGGTTGTTGCAAAACAATGCAATCTCTGGTCCAATTCCTGATACAATTGGGAGGTTGGATAAGCTTCAAACTCTCGATCTTTCCAACAATTCATTCACCGGGGATATCCCAGCCTCACTTGGAGAACTCAAGAACTTGAATTACTTGTAAGTGTTCCTTTTGGGATTTAAACGGATTCTTTTGTTGCATGTTTATAAAATTCCAGTTCAGGTCTCAGTGTCTTGTTCTTCTTGTTCTTTTCAGGCGGTTAAACAATAACAGTCTTTCAGGAACTTGCCCTGGGTCTCTATCCAAGATTAAGGGACTTACTCTAGTGTATGTCCCTAAACTCTGCTTTCTATCATTGAGGGACATGTTTACCAACTTATTGGTTATTGATTCTTAATGTGCAGCGACATTTCGTATAACAATCTTAGCGGTTCACTGCCAAAAGTGTCTGCCAGAACTTTCAAGTAAACTTTACTAGACTTATCCCAAGAACTTATCTTTTCATAGAGGCTAAACTAAGTTTATTCTGTTTCTTGAACACTTAAAGGGTAATCGGAAACGCATTAATCTGTGGCCCCAAAGCTGTTGCAAACTGTTCTGCTGTCTTACCCGAGCCTCTCACGCTTCCACAAGATGTTCCATCAGGTATTAACCATCTGCTTCTCATGTGTCTTTATATCAGTGAAGCTTTTAGCTTAACTTTTTTGTTTTGTTGTTATTTTTTATTTATAGAAGAATCAAGAACTCATACCAATAGCCATCATGTAGCTGTTGCATTCGCCGCAAGCTTCAGTGCAGCATTTTTTGTTATCTTTACCAGTGGAATGTTTCTTTGGTGGAGATATCGACGTAACAAGCAAATATTTTTCGACGTTAATGGTTAGTTTCTTGAAAAATATCTCTGCTTTTGCATCCTCTCGTTGTTTTCGAAAATCCAACAGTCTCACCTTAAAATAATGAATATATTTAGCAGAACAATATGATCCAGAGGTGAGCTTAGGACACTTGACGAGGTATACCTTCAAAGAGCTTAGATCCGCCACCAATCACTTCAACTCGAAGAACATTCTCGGAAGAGGTGGTTACGGGATTGTGTACAAAGGACACTTAAGTGACGGATCAATAGTGGCTGTAAAGCGTCTCAACGACTGTAACATTGCAGGCGGAGAAGTTCAGTTTCAGACAGAAGTAGAAACTATAAGTCTTGCTCTTCATCGCAATCTCCTCAGGCTTCGAGGTTTTTGTAGTAGCAACAATGAGAGAATCTTGGTCTACCCTTACATGCCTAATGGAAGTGTTGCCTCACGCTTAAAAGGTAATGAATGCAGTTCCCAAAACTATATTTTTTCCCGCTCTTTCTCAAGAATTTTAAAGTTTGCTGCAAAAATTTGTTAGATTATATCCGGGGAGAACCAGCGTTAGACTGGTCGAGAAGGAAGAAGATAGCAGTTGGTACAGCAAGGGGATTAGTGTACCTCCATGAGCAATGTGACCCCAAGATTATACACAGAGATGTGAAAGCAGCTAACATTTTGTTAGATGAAGACTTTGAGGCAGTTGTTGGTGATTTCGGTTTAGCCAAGCTTCTAGACCATAGAGACTCACATGTGACGACGGCGGTTCGGGGAACTGTTGGTCACATTGCACCTGAGTACTTGTCCACTGGTCAGTCCTCGGAGAAGACTGATGTTTTTGGCTTTGGTATACTACTTCTTGAGCTCATTACGGGTCAGAAAGCTCTTGATTTTGGCCGTTCATCACACCAGAAAGGGGTCATGCTCGATTGGGTAAGTCTTCTGCTTTTACTCTGTTTCTTGCTTCACTTCCTAGAATCTTGGAGGCAATTCGTCTCAATTCTGGTTTGGTTTGGTTCTGTCTTGCTTCAGAAGATCCTTAAACCAATAACTGAAATTTAACCATGATTTGGGTTGGTTTGGTTCAGTCTTGCTTCAGAAGATCCTTAAACCAATAACTGAATTTTAACCATGATTTGGATTCAGAGTGGGTTTAGATTTAATCTCGGTATTGGTTTAATTTCGGTTCTGTGTTTGTGACTTGGTTTAAACTCTGTTTTGCTAAATATAAGTTCTTGTTCAAGTTTGGTCTGGTTTATCTCTAATTTGCTTCCGGTTAAGCTTGGATTGTGACTCATTTTGAAGAAAGATCAAATCATGATTTGGATTTGATTTGGAACTTTTAGGATAGGTTTTTGTTCAAGTGGACCAGTTTCATTAGCATAATCTTGAAACTGAATGCATTTTTTATGTTTGAAATTTGGTTCGGTCTGGATTGGGTTGCAAGTCAAATCGGAGAAAAACTAAAACATCATTTTGGTTTGGTTCGGTTTATTGGTCTGAGAAATGAGAATTTGTTAAAACATGGCAGGTGAAGAAGCTGCATCAAGAAGGGAAACTAAAGCAATTAATAGACAAAGATCTTAAAGACAAGTTCGATAGAGTGGAGCTCGAAGAAATAGTTCAAGTTGCTCTTCTCTGCACTCAGTTCAATCCATCTAATCGACCTAAAATGTCAGAAGTTATGAAGATGCTTGAGGGCGACGGCTTGGCTGAGAGATGGGAATCGTCGCAGAACGGTGGGGCGGAGTCACTGCCACCGCCGCTGCCTTCGGGGATGGTGAGTTCTTCTTCGCCGCGGATGAGGTATTACTCCGATTATATCCAAGAATCATCTCTTGTCGTCGAAGCCATTGAGCTCTCTGGTCCTCGATGAAGAGTGGTGAAAATTTCACTTCTTTTCTTTCTTGGTTTCGTTTTCGTTTTGTTTCGTTCTTTTTATTTTTTACTTATAAAAATGGTTATATAGCTGTGGAATCGAGTGTAATTTCCTGTAAAAAATATTAGCTGCAGAAGAAAGTGTTTATTCTAAGTTAAACAATGTTTACTCTACCGTATCTCAAATGTCCCAAATTGCAGCTGATGCCTAGATCAAGTCAATCGGAGTCACAATCAGATTTTGGTTGGATTCACTGAATTTCGGATTCATAAATTTTCAGTTCCATTCGGATATTATAAAAATTTAATCCGGATCCGATTCAGGTTTAATCGGATTTGGTTTGGACTTAGTTATGTGTATAAGATCCAGTTGAATCTGAAATAGTTTCGGTTTCGACTACTAATCGGATTATCGGTTATAAAAATATTGATTTCTACTTGATTAAATTCATTATATTTCTAATCATTTTAATAAACTTGTGTATTTATCTTCTAAAACTATATTGTTGTCCTTTAAAAAGATTTTTTGAAACTCATATACCAATCATATTGAGACTTGTTGTTGAACTATGTGTGACCACATCAAACATATCATCATTCATGACAAACTAAAACTTTGTACAAATGAAAATCACACATAACAAAACATAAAAAATTTAAAATTCACAACTAACAATGCTATAACGTAAGAAACACTATTTAAACTTTAAAAACAACATTGTTTAAACTTCAAATGCAATGCAAACATAAAAAAAATTAATTTTAACTAAATAAAAATATTTATTAGATTAAGCATTTGAGTTAATTATTCTTGTTTTTTTTTTTTGAAACAAGTTAATTATTCTTGTAATAACTAATTATTATAGGTACTCAATAATATTTTAGTGTGTTTTGGATACATATTAGAAATTGAGTTTGAGTATGGTATAAGTTTTTTTGGGATTTTGAAGTTTCGGATATCCACTAATTTTGGATTCGGTTTGGTAAAACTCATAACCCTAAATATCGTAAAACAAGATCCATTCATTACTTACGTCGGGTCTAGAATGGTTTAGATTCCTTTTTTTGACAGACCAGATGCGGTTCAGACTTTCGGGTTCAGTTTATTTTCCCAGCCTTACCTATGCCTATAAACCACATGTGTAGAAACTAAAATTTCTAAGCAAGCTGAAATATTATATGTGGCCGTCTCTGTTTGGATATGTAGCGACAACAAAGACATTCACTTAAACATACTGATAAGAGCTGTCCAAAATGTGATGGTACATCATAATCGATTAATTTATCATGTTATACATACCAATAAGAGCTATGTTGATACATCTGGAAGGCGAGGAATACCAAACTCTAATTAGAAAGTTATCTACCCAATTGGAACTCTCCAGCTGGCTTCCCTGGAGGCAAACTATTAGAGAAAAAGTAACCAAAAATAAAAAAATAGACGAGGATCATGATAAACCCCACCACATTTATTGAGGTAGTATCCTTTCAGATACCTCGAATCTCAACTTGCCAAATTGATGATGTTCATAGATCGATAATGGCACCTCACATCTATTGGACACCATGTGTTGTTCATACTCTTAATCTAGCTTTGAAGAATATATGTGCAGCAAAGAATGTGGAAAGGAATCAAGAAACATATGAGGAGTGTAATTGGATTACTGAAATTCAGGAGATGATATTGCAATAAGAAACTTCATCATGAACCATGGCATGAGACTCGCCTTTTTTTGGTAAGTTCTGTTCGCTGAAATTACTTCAAGTTGCTGATACATGTTTTGCCTCAATCATTGTGATGCTTAGGAGATTGAAGCTTATTAGAAAGGGTCTTCAAGTCATGGTTATAAGTGAAGAATGGTCTACTTATAGGGATGATGATGTTGGGAAAGCAAACTTTGTTAAAGAAAAGATTGTGAATGGTGACCGGTGGGAAAAGGTGTCTTATACTATTGATTTCACAAGATCTACATATGAGATGATTAGATTTTGTGACACCGATAAGCCATGTCTTCACATGGTATATGAGATGTGGGATTCTATGATCGAAAAGGTGAATGCTGAGATTTACAAGAGAGAAAAGCGTCCAATGTCTGAATTTAGTCTCTTCTATAATGTTGTTTATGAAATTTTGGTGGCTCGCTGGACAAAAAGTAACACTCCTTTACATTTTCTAGCTCACGCATTGAATCCAAGGTATGATTTATCATTTCATCTTTTCATGTCATATGTATGTTTATACACATGTTTTGTATTTTGTAGATTTTATAGTGATGATTGGCTAAATGAAGAATTGGGAAGAGATGGTCCACATAGAGATGCAAAAATTTCACGTGACATAGATTTTCGAAGATTGTTTCCAAGCGATGATGATCACATGAAATTTATGGAAGAGTATGCGTTATTCTCGATGAAGAGTGGTACTTTTGAAGATTTAACATGCATTTCAATGATGTTTACTATGGAAACCAAAAGTTGGTGGGCTAACTTTGGTGCTCAAACTCTTTTACTCGAAACTTTGGCTTTTAAGTTACTTGGACAGCTTAGTTCATTTTCGTGTCCTGAGTGTAATTGGAGCACTTACGCATTCATTCATTCACTAAGAAGGAATAGATTAACTTCTAGTCGTGCTCAAGACTTGGTTATCATCCACAACAACTTACGATTTCTATCAAGAAATTCTGACCAATATGAAGCTGAAAAGACCAAGATGTGGGATGTTGGTGGAGATAGAGACGGATTTGATTCTATGGAAGATGTGGGATTCTTGGAGTTTGCTGACCTCTCTCTTGATGAACCAAACTTTGAAAATGGGCTATTGGATGATTAGCATATTTGTTTTTTTTTCTGATATTTTGAACAAGTGTGTTTTAATGCTTAAACTTATGTTTCGGATTTTAATATTTTGACTATGGATATTTATGCTATTTATATTTTAGTTCCTGATTTCCTAAAACATTAATCTGGATATATATATATATATATTGGTGCCGTCTCACGTACCGGGTTCGGATGGGGGATGGGTACGGCTCGGGTACGTTGGGGAAACGTCCCCAACACATACAAGGTGAACCCGGGACAACATGACTTGACAGGGACGGGTTTGGTCAAAAATGGGAGACGTCCCCGAAACGTTTCAGGCCAAAAGCGACGTATCCGTTTGGTTTTGTGAGTTACGAAGTGTAACTTTGTTTTTCATTTATTCATTCTAGTAATTCTGAAAATATTAAAAAATGTAATAAAAATTTGTTTATCAAATCTCTTCCACTTCCATATCAGTCTCTTCCTCTCCCATCTTCTTGTTTCTCTTTGACTTCTAAGTCTCAACCCTCTCGTAATAAACATCGTTTCTCTTTAGCAACTTACGTATCTGTGAGTGTTAGTTTCTCTCCTTATCAGCAAGCAGCAACACACGTAAGCATAAGCATGTTTCTTCTTGTCTCTTTCGGATTTTTATGTTTTTGTTATTTAATTATTTTTCATTAGCAACTTTGAACTTTATATTTTTTTCTCTATGTATTTCTGAAGAGAGATCTGCTGTATGTGAACCTAGCATCACAAAGCTTCAAGCACATGCTTGGAAGGTCAGAGCTCCCCAAAAGATATGCCATCTTATGTGGCAATTAATAATAGGCTATGTGGCTATTACGAGCATCTTAAATTATAGACATATGAGATGTGATAACCACTGTCCTCGATGTGGGGAACCTGAAGAAACGATTACACATGCAATCTTCGAATGTCCACGTGCATTACAAGTTTGGAATTTATCATCTACGTCTACCAATCCCGCTTTGTTTCCACTACAGAGCACGTATGCGAACATGGATTACCTCTTCTGGAGAAAAAATTCTATAATGGAACCGGAATTGGACAGGGATCCTTATCCCTGGTTAATCTGGTATATCTGGAAGGCTCAGAATGATAAGATGTTCAGAGGTATTGATAGAGATCCTTTGGAGCTAGCGCGGTATGCCGAAAGTGAGTGTCAAACCTGGTTCCGCGCAAATGAGCAGGATATTCCGCCATCCCTTGGGAACGGAATATAGGTAGATCATGTCATAAGAATGAGTGACATATGCATGGTGGATGGATCTTGGACTTCTACAGACCTTTTTAGTGGAAGTGGATCGGTTTTGAATGATAGCTCTGGAGTTGGTAAAGTGGAATCGGCGTTGCATTCAGAGTTGGAAGCACTGCGGTGGGCAATGGAGAATATGCTTCAACATTTGCCATGTCAGAGCTTTGGAACTGATTGCAAGGAGATGATCGCGATGCTCAGGAATCCTCATGAATCGTCCAACTTAAACTGGAAAAACTCTTGACATTGAGAATTTGCTTCCCTGATTTCAAGATTTTTTACGTCCCTAGGTTACATAATGGTTTTTCCGATTCTTTAGCTAAGTCGGCTAGATCATTTTATCGTAAACTTTAATATGTTGGTTGTTCTATTCTCTCAAGCTTAAATAAATGATCAATTTTTTTATGTAAAAAAAAACATGTGTATTAATTTATTTTCGAGTATTAGTTTAGCGGGTTTAACCTTTATACCCTCGAATTTAAAGCATCATAGAGAATCCCTAAACCCAATCATTAGTTTGGGTCAGCAATCTGGATCTAACCCACCACCCATTCTCTCCACTTGTAAAAAACAAACAAAATTTCATCCTCTCACGAAGAAGATGATAGCTATGATCGGATTGATTCTGGGTTTTTTAATTTCAGCATTGTTCTTAATCCAAGGAAAGCGAAGATCATCAAATGGTGGTGTGGAGAAGAAGAAGCAATCTACTAATGACGAGACTAAATATTTAAAGCCTAAAAGTTACAGCAAGAGTGAAGTCGCATAACACAACAAAAGAGACGATTATTGGATCATAATCAAAGATAAAGTTTAAGATGTTACTTCTTATGTTGAAGAGCATCCTGGTGGTGACGCCATTCTGGATCATGCCGGTGATGACTCAACCGATGGGTTTTTCGGACCACAACATGCCACTCGTGTTTTCGACATGATCGAGGATTTCTACATTGGAGAGCTTCGTAAATTAGATTAAATATTTGAGTACCCTTTTGTGTTGTGTTTCTTTGTCTATTTGTAGTTCCATTTTTTTTGAGCAAATAAAAAAAAAAAAAATCTTGAATTTGAAGTTCCATTGTAATGCCAAGTTTCCTCATTTTTTGTTACTTCTCACGAAAAAATCTTGAATTTGAACTTCAGGGTTTTAGTTGAGAGTGAAACTTGATTTATGATACTCTGTTTCAAGTGTTCTAAACCCATCGGTTTTTAGTAATAGAGGCTGCTCAGAAAGCTTCTACGATGACTACATTGAGTTTAATTTGTTGCTGTTGAACATCTTGCGAGAATCAGCAAGATTATAAGAACATAACTATTATAGTGTTCTGATATATCCTTAAATCCAAAAACACAAGCACTAATATCTGTCATAATTTTGCTTTTCCGGAATTCGAAACCCAGATCTCTTGGTATAACACCATTAATAAACCTTAGTCAAACCACTGGATTAAGGGAACTTCCACATATTCTCAAACACATTTTGATTATGAAGTAGATTTATTTCATGTTTAATTTATAACTAAACTTAGAAAGTCGAAAATCTAATCAGACAATTGCATAACAAACTAGAGACCAAAAAGTATGTAACACACGTTTTACTGACTAGAGTAGGGGTGGGCACAAGCCAAGTACTTGCCATTTATTTTGGACTTGTACTTGATTTATTAAAAACGAGTACTTGCACTTTCAAGTACTTGCTAAAACATGGTATATTTGCAAGTACTTTTTCCGTTTTACTACTTGTTGCTTTCGAGCTAATTTATTTAATAACAGTTTATTAATTTTTGCTATTTAAACTTTGTATATGAAGTTTATTAATAATAGTTTATTAGTTTTTGCTACTTAAACCTTGTATATGAATTTTGTAAGAAATTAGTTAGTTATAATTATAAACTAAACAATTTTTTATAAAGAATATTTATTTACTTTTTATATGTTTTAAATCGATGCATGATAAATATAAAATTAAAAGAAAACTCTAAAATATTTCTATAATATATCACTTTTAATTCATTTATTTTATAAACAAGTAATTTGATTATAATTTAAAGATTTTTATGCCTAAAAGTAAAAAACGGATGATAAATCAAGTAATAAATCACGAGTAACAAGCCAACAACGCTAAGTAGTTACTTTTCTTTTAGTACTTGGTACTTGTATTGTACTTGCAAGTAATTGAAATAAACGACTTGATAATCAACTTGAACAAAACGAGTACTCGACTTTAAGAGCCAAGTACGAATCAAGTAACGAGTACAAGCCGAGTAGCAAGTAATTGTGCCCATTCCTAACTCCTAGACTAGAGTGTTTAGCGAAGTTGTAAAGCGGGTGCAGATCAGGGAGTGTACATGCAAATTGTAATTGGGAAATTAAAAAAAAATGCATATAATAACAAAAGAGGTTAGAAAACATAACTCAATAATTGCATGAAGCAAGAAGTCAAAAATCAGATTACTTAAGTTGAAACATACAACACAAGTCTATGTTTAATATTACACCTTTGCATCTCATCTGCTTTTACTCTAAACTTTCTGTCATTTTCTGTTTCACTGGTCAGCAGTCAGCATTTGTCTCCCAACCTGTCTGAATCTGTAGAAACGTTTAAAACACTGGAGACTCGTAAGAAGGACAAGAAACTTTACTACTTTTTTTATTCCTTGTCTTCACTAAAAACACTACTGAATCATTTTCATGTACTGTGCCAAAAAAAAAAAAAAATCATTTTCATGTACATGTAAGTCCATGTAGATGTCATATATGCAAATATAATAATAAATATTATTCACGAATGAATTGAAAAAGGGCAGAGTGAGATTTGAATAACTTCTCTACTTCTCCACTGCTAAAAACAGCTCGAATAAGCATTGGCTTCACGTGACATCTTACCTGTTTATGTCCGTGACCAAGAACTTGGATAATACATGCCATTACTAATCCCTGAGTTGCAAACTTTCTTCTTCTTCTTTCATTTGATTCAACCATGGTCCCTTCTTTTTGTTTCTATATGTTCTTCTTAGTGATGATTACTCTCTACATGGTTTGTCCAGTGAGATCAAGCGACTTTGAAGCTCTACTGAGTTTGAAATCATCCATTGATCCATCAAACTCCATACCATGGACAGGAACAGATCTCTGCAACTGGGAAGGTGTTAAAGAATGCATTAACGGAACAAGAGTCTCGAAGCTTGTTCTTGAGAATCTGAACCTCACTGGTTCACTCGACGAGAAGAGCTTGAACCTGTTAGACCAGCTTAGGGTACTTAGTTTCAAAGGAAATTCTCTCTCTGCATCACTCCCTAACCTCTCTGGTTTGGTCAACCTCAAATCTCTGTTTCTCAACGATAACAACTTCTCCGGAAAGTTCCCTGAATCACTGACGTCTCTCCACCGACTCAAAACCATTGTCCTGTCTGGAAACAGGCTTTCCGGTCCCATCCCAAGCTCGCTGCTACATCTCTCCCACCTTCACACGCTTCACCTTCAGGACAATCTCTTCTCCGGCTCCATTCCTCCTCTCAACCAAGCAACTCTGAGATTCTTTAACGTCTCTAATAACAAGCTCTCTGGCCATATTCCACTGACACAAGCCCTGAATCAGTTCAATGAGTCGTGTTTTGCAGGAAACATTGCTCTATGCGGCGATCAGATTCAAAACTCATGCAGAAGAAGGAATGAAACAGCAGGAGGAGTCTCTTCCAAGCCGTCGGCAATTCCAACGATGCCTATAGCCAAAACAAAAACAAAAACCAAAACAACGCTCATTGCAATCGTTGTCGGAAGCATAGGTGGCGGTATTGTAATACTTTTGCTGGCACTGCTTCTTCTCATACAGAGACGGCAACGAATCAAATCCAAGAGAAAAGAGTGCATAAGCAAAGCCGTGGTAGTAGCAACATCTGCGGACACAGAAGGAGGTAACAGGAGAAACAAAAGGTTCTCATGGGAGACAGGAAGTGAAGAAGGATCAGTGGGGACTTTGGTTTTCTTGGGGAGAGGTGAATCAAACATCAGGGCGGTGAGATATACAATGGATGATTTACTCAAAGCTTCAGCTGAAACGTTGGGAAGAGGAACGTTAGGGAGCACTTACAAGGCTGTGATGGAGTCTGGTTTCATCGTCACTGTTAAGAGGCTCAAGGATGCAGGTATTACTCAGAGGGAGGAGTTTAAGAGACACATTGAGATCCTTGGCAGACTCAAGCACCCTAACCTGGTGCCTCTCAGAGCCTACTTCCAAGCCAAAGAAGAATGCTTGCTCGTTTACGATTACTTCCCCAACGGAAGTCTCTTCTCTCTTATCCATGGTATGTATTCCGGGCCGGTCCTGGGCAAAGTCCGATGAAACATTAGTCTTTTCAATGGGTTTTGGTTCTGTCTGATTAAGTCAAGCTTGATGTGTTTTAGTCTTGTGTCTTGTCTGTAGGAAGTAAGATTTCCGGGAGTGGGAAGCCTCTTCACTGGACATCATGTCTGAAAATAGCTGAGGATTTAGCAATGGGACTAGTCTACATTCATCAGAACCCGAGCTCAACTCACGGGAACTTGAAATCATCTAACGTTTTGTTAGGTCCTGACTTTGAGTCCTGCCTCACGGATTACGGTCTCAGAGATCTGCATGATCCTAACTCACTGGAAGACACAACTGCAGCCTCTCTCTTCTACAAAGCTCCTGAGTGCAGAGACTTACGCAAGGCCACGACACAACCTGCAGATGTATACAGCTTTGGGGTCCTTCTTCTAGAGCTTCTAACAGGTAAAACTTCATTCCAGGACCTTGTTCATAAACAGGGGTCTGATATCTCCAGATGGGTGCGTGCCGTGAGAAAAGAAGAGACTGAATCAGGCGAGGAGCTGATGTCTTCTGAGGAGAAACTTCAAGCTCTTTTGAGCATTGCGACGGCTTGCGTGGCAATTCAGCCTGAAAGCAGGCCTGTGATGAGAGAGGTACTGAAGATGGTGAAGGATGCAAGAGCGGAAGCAGTAGTTTTGTCATCTTTCAGCAGCGATCATTCACCTGGGAGATGGTCAGATACAGTTCAGAGCTTGCCAAGGGAGGATCATATGAGCATATGAAGCAAGTTTTGTGTGCGTTCTCTCCATTGTTTGATTTGTTGACGCCATTTTGATGGAATGCAAAATCTGCTTCAGTCTTTTTTCCTGCCATACCAAAAAAAAAAAAAAACAGTTGGTTTCATACCAAACGTGCACTGCAGAATGTCCAAAATGATCAATCAGCCAACAGATTCTTGGAGTCACATAATATAAGTACCACTGTTAATTTTTTTTTCCCCACAAAATACAACATTATAGTCATCCCCAGTTTTAATCTCTTTTGCATTTAACAATAAAGCAAATGAAGATCACAGAAAGGTTTATTTGCAGAGCCTATAACAAATAACGCAGCATTGATTACTGTGAACTCTATCAAGGATTAAGGCTTGAAACCTAGTTACAAGACCGTACTAGCTTTCACAAACCAAACAGCTCAAGTTGTTTTTTGAAAATCAATTTTTTTTTCTCTGGGGAAAGTAAGACACATATTGAACTTGTCAAGTTAAAAACACTAAAAAGAGAAAAATTGACGTTCAAAAAGAAAGCCTGTCAGACAACCGTGCGACCACTCCAGAGAGGTAAAGACCTAACTGGATAGCGATCCTCTACAGTGCAGAGACTCCGAGGAGAATCATAACCGTTAATCACACTCAGATCGCACAGTGTTGATTCATCAACCAGGTTTGAGGGCCTGTCTCCTTAGAAATCAAGGATACAGAGGTACGAGCCTATAGAACAGATCCTGTTCAAGTAAGGTCGTGACCTCTGTCTTAGACTCTTCGCTATATAAACAACTCGAGTTCCTTTGCATTAAACGATGTGGGACGAAATGAACAAGTTCAGACGCTTATCGTCGCCGTTTTAAGCTCAAAGCATACGTCATCGTTTAGTTTATCTCAGTGAACTGAATCACTAAAACAAAAGGTTTCTTCTCTCAATCAGAATCGCATTTGCTTAAAAACTCTTTTGAATTTTTTTCTAAATGGTATGTTTGATCGGAAAGCTACAAGCTTTGAATTCAGCTACCGATTCCTTAGAAACTAATTAGGATATTACTGGAAGAAGACAGGGCAATATAGAATAAAGTCCCAGATTAATTCTTTCCAAAGTTAAACCAAAACCCGGTTTACTTATGCTTCGTCAGTCGGTTCTTTTTAGCCAACGTTCAAAATCTCAGAAAGAACCAAAATGGAGCAAGAAACTGATGACATTTTTATTTGAAAGATTTGCCAAATTGGGACCTTCCTCGCTTCACTCTTTTTTTTTCCTAATGTCCTGACACTCTTTTATGCTCCCTTTACTCTTTTTTTTTGCTTACTAAATAGTATACATATAACAAATTAACCACAACAACAACCAAGTGTAAAATATATATTTTTTTTAAATCTCATAAATACATTGTATAAGAATTTTAGGGGTGTTCAATTTGGATGTCGTTTCGGTTCGATTTTTTTGGTTTTTTGATATTTCGGTTTATAAAATTTAACTATCATATTAATATCATATCTACTTTAGTTTGGTTCAGTTTATATACTAGCGGTTTTCGTTTTTTCGGTTTTCTACCAAAACCCATAACTATATTTATATTTTTGATAAATTTTAGTTTATATGACTAAAATCAGATTTATTAAAACATAATACATATCCCGTATTCTAATTTTAAAATACATATCCCGTATTTTAATTTTTATATTTCAGATATAATCTAAGATTAACAACCCTAATATTCATTTCCTATATACTATCAAATAAATGGAAAATAAATTAGCTTTCTTTTAAATAAATGATATTACCTTTAGAAATGTTATACAACATTCCTTCCTATTGATAAGGAAGAGAATCGTTTACTAGGATACAAAAACCGAATATTCAATGGATCAAACCTATCAAAATCAATTTTGTAAAATATTGATTCAAATTTTTTTAAAAAAATCTTAGCTTAACTAACAAAATATGAGATATTTAAAAATATCAGAATTAGTAATTTGTTATTTTTTATATATAAATAAAATATAAATTAGTAAAAATAAACACTCGCTCGGGCAAGTGACCTATTTGACTTCTACTTTATATATACCCATTTGATTAGCATAAATTTGTAATAAGAACTAAAAAGGTAAAAAATGGATGACCTAAATAATGACTTAATATCACTATATTTCCTGTTATGAAAAGAAAAATTGTTTACAAACATGCTACTTCAAACTATATTATATTATATTCAAATACAATCTAGAAATATAAATATTTATATAAACTGCTTGAAAAATAAACTATAGATGAAAATATATAAATTACTATAGATGTTTTGTTAAAAAATTGTGTTGTTTAAAAATACACATTAAACTAATAATTTGATTGGAAAGAGTATCGAGTATATATATAATCAATGGTATAGAACAAATTTCAAAAGTATAAAAATGAAAGAAAACACTTGTGTGGATGCACGGGTCAAAATCTAGTTTTTATACGAAAGATTTGCCAAATTGGGACCTTCCTCCCTTCACTCTTTTTTTTTCTAATGTCCTAACACTTTTATGCTCCCTTTACTCTCTTTTTTTTTTTGCCTTACTAAATAGTATACATATAACAAAATTAACCACAACAACAACCAAGTGTAAAATATTTTTTTTTTAAATCTCATAAATATATTGTACAAGAATTTTAGGGGTGTTCAATCCGGATATTGTTTCGGTTCAATTTTTTTTGGTTTTTTGATATTTCGGTTTATAAAAATTAACTATCATATTAATATAATATCTACTTTAGTTTGGTTCAGTTATATACTAGCAGGTTTTGTTTTTTTTGGTATTATACCAAAACCCATAACTATATATATTTTTATGATAATATTAGTTTATATGACTAGAAATCAGATTTGTTGAAACATAATACATATCCCATATTCTAATTTTAAAACAGAATATCTTATTTTCATTTTTACTATTAAAACTGAAAATACCAAAAAATATCAATGTCGTAATATTATTAAATATAACTATATTATAGCACATATATTTACCAATAAAAATATGTTTTATTTAATTTAATTATTTTAACTTAGAACAAATAAAAATTAATTAAATTATTGCTATAAATATGAATATCATATTAATACATAATCATGTATATATTATTAATTTTATCATAAAATTTGCATATAGGTATCTTACATATTTTAATTAATTGATTTCTTCGATTTATTCGGTTAGTTCGGTTTATATATCAAACCATATCCATATACCGTGGTTTTTTAAATTAACATCCATTCGATTTATTTAGTACTATCAAATCCAAATTGTGGATTTATTTAGTACTATCAAATCCAAATTATTTTCTCTATTTCGGTTTGGTTTTAATTGATTTGATTTTACTCTAAAACTATTGCAACAAAATAAGTAAAGCATCCGCACATAGCTTGATAAATAAGTAATCAATCAGACCACCTTGGAAATTTTCTTTAACAACATAATTTATAACCACAACCAAGGATCACACATGATGGTCAGCCCAAAATATTAACACCTAAATAAATTTACTAATCCAATGCTGCATACAGTCCTAGGTGATACAGACTATCAATAGATATTCTGAACTCGTACGGTCCAACACAACGGAAATGATATGAATCCCACACATTTTGTGAAAAATATATCACCTAGATATTGACCCACTCCTCAACTCGATTATACACCAACGGGTCCTTCAACTTAAACAATAAGTAAGGCGAAGTTCATATCATTTCAAAGATTTTCAAATACAAATCTTATTTGAAATAAAAACATTTTAAGTCAGTGTACAAAGATTTTAGACGGCTCATAATAACCATACTCCCATTTATTTCACCCTTTCTCCACGCTATTGTGCTGATGCCTCTTATTCTGATCCTAGAAAGAAAAGCTCTCAGTAAATAGCATTACGAAACAGCCTTTTCTTTGTATCCTCCAAAGTTTTTTAAATTTCCTTCGATTGATAAACTCTTGTTTTCTTTGTTGAAACAATAAACCGGCGCTTGCCATTTCTCGTCCTCAAGAACCGCGCCAACCTCGAACGTCATCACATGAGCCTCCCTCCCTGCAAGTAATTTTTTTTTCAGATGAATTTAGCTATAACAAAAAACAAACTAAGTCGTACACAGTGGCATCGATCACACCTGTATAGAAGATCCATTGCACGGGTCTCTTGGTTTCAACATCCTCGTAGTACCATATAAAGTCAACTTTCTCCCATACATTGCAATGAAACCCATTCACAAGTTGTTGTCCTAAATACTTAGCTCCATCTAGCCAGTTTGGTCGCAGGATTCCAACCTTATTCGAACAAAAAGTTTAAGCTTGTTTTAACTATTACAAGACCATTCTATGTTTTATCGGTAAAAAGGACCTAATCTGACCTCGAGTTGAGCGGAGCGGCAGGATTTGGATTGGTCGAGGGTGTAAAGGAAAGAGGTGCCGTTGTTCCATTCGAGATCGTAGGTGATGGGACCGAGCTGCTCCTGGATGATATTGAAATTACGACCATTAGGCCAGTCGTACCAAAGGTCAATCATCGAGAGGCTTCCGGAGTAATTCATGAACAGTAGGGCGTGGAATTGGTGTGGCCATGGCGCCGGAACCGGCTCATCTGCGGTGGCGTTTTGGGTGACTGCGAGGAAGATGATGAGGATTAGTATCGGTGGTCGTCTGATAGCCATTTTGGATTGGATTTCTGGCCGCGTGTGACTATTTTGACATTTTCACCTGAATTTGCCAAATCCCCTATATGATGATGACATGGCTACTATGCCTATATATATTTTTGATAAATTTTATTGAATATGATAATAGTTGATACATTATATTTACTATTAATTTATAGTTTTTGTAAATTTCTTAAAATATGATAATAACTTATAAATTAAATCATTACTAAAAATAAATATATTGAAATATGCATTATAAAATCAAACTGTTATTTAATTTTACTTTTATAATTATACAAATTTTATTACTAATTTTTTTTTGTCATCAAATAAACACTTATGTAAACTCTGCGAACCATACTGTAGTTCTGCATCCATGTGAACGACAAAGGACGATTTTTTTTCTACCACTATGTGCTAGGTTATTCAATCTGTGAGTTATGCGTTCTTGGTACATAGATGATCTCTGAGCTGTGAAAGTTATCTTTCAACGTCTTAATGTCCGCCAAATAAGTTGCAAATGCCAGCTATTCCTTTGGTTCCAACACCATCTTCACCAGCTGGGAACAATCTGCTGCAAAAGTGACCTGATATTGACGCAAATTCCTCATATATTTTGTTGCCCAAATTAAAGCATCCACCTCCGATTATAGGGGCGAGAGGCTTGTCCAAACATTTCTTGCCCCCATTAGTTCCTGAAAGCCTTCTAGTGTGTTATACCAGTCTTGTCCAGAAAACTCTTCTTGAACTTTCCATGAATCATATGTAAAACACCACCGACCTGAAGGGAAAAGAAGTCCCCAACTTCTCCCTGGTGCGGAGCCTGCTGTGCCTGTGCCAACTACGCTTCACTCCAGAAAATCAATTCCGTTTCTGTGAGTTTCAACGTATCTCTAGAATCAATATCCAAGTTACAAAACTAATATATTAAAAATTTTCCATCTTTTTTAAAAAAATAATAAATTTTGTATCGTAATATCTTTGGTTTCTTTTAAATATCAAATTTTTATAAATATTATTAAGTTATAATTTTAAAACTATACAATATTATATGATTTTTTATTAATTTTATACAAGTTAATTTAATACATTTAACCAAAATAAATAGATAAAAATTTCTAAGATTCGAATTTTAAATACATTACATATATATTATTAAATATAATTTAAATTAAACAAATTTATTTTTTTAAAAATTTATGCTTAATATCAAATTTCTGTTAAATATTAGTCAAAATAATAAAATATATAATATTAATAAATTTTATTTTTAATATAATTTAACTTTAAAAAAATTATCACCTGATGTAGAAAAACATCTACTCCCTCCGTTTCTTTTTATAAGATGTTTTAGAAGGTTTATGTTGTTTCAAAATATAAGATGCTTTGAGATTTTAAGGTATATTTTGAAAATTTAAGGTTAACTTTAACTTTATTGGAAACTGTTCAACCAATAAAAAATTTCAATCCTTTTTATAAGTTGAATGATTTTAAAAGTATATCATTAAAAGTACTTTAAAAAAAGGTAAATATCTTAATGTCTATGCCGTCAACCAAAACACCTTATAAAAAATTGGAGGGAGTAGTAGTTTTGATGTATAAAACGATTTGTTTAGGTTTTAGTGGAAAAAATGTTATGGTTTTAGTGGGAAAACATTCAATAGGAGATGTTTATGTGAAAAGCAAATTTGATTCTCGATTTTTATGGTATTAAATTTTTAAAAAATCATTTTTTATAATAAATAGTCATTTTGTCGTAAACGTAAATCTAAATGCTCAGTAAAAAAATTATTCTCAGCTTGGTGAAAATTGAAGCTAATTTTTTGAGACAGAGTTAAGTTGTCCCTCTGGATTTTGCATTTAAGTGCGCACTAAAGAAACACTGATTTGCAGTTTCTGCCAGATGGATTATCTGAAAGAGCAAAGGAACAACACCTTCACTGAATTTGAAAACGCTGTCGTCAGATAGATCATTAACAGAACTAAACGAACATTGATAAGTAAACGAACAGCATGCCTGTATTGTATGTATGTATACCAAGCCGGAGAACTGAACTTAATTGCAAATATAAGTGAAGGAACGAAACACAAACTTGATTTTAATTTTTGGATTCTATTAATTTACAATCAAACTCACTTCTGACATGACAGTCTTCTTTCGTATTCGTTGCTGTGCAGTTTGCAAAGCCACAAACCTAAACTGCTGCAGCACGACCACTTGAAATCACCAGGACGGTAGTATTGACATAAGACTGAGAGAAGCAGCGATAATGTTTCACCCTCAGCCTGTCTTCTCATGTTGCAGGGACTCCAACCGGAAGATGGACAATGCCAGCATCCTAGATTACCGAGTAAAATTTCATAGACAGCATAAGGCTCAAAGCTTCAGCTAATTATGTATGAAGCATTATTACTATCATAGATTAAAGCTTAAAGCTTTAGCTAATAAAACCTAAATACTTTAACTTGTTCAGTAGAAATTAGAGAGAGAGAGAGAGAGAGAGAGAGTTTTGCTTACGAGAGTGTGTTAGCTACATAGAATATTGGAAGCCTCAATAAACCTTCACATTTCCATGTTCTTCTTGGGGCAACAATAGATTTTTCACATCTTGATCCTGTAGCAGTTAAAACAAACTGCGCAGTTTCTGTTAACACTGGTTTACAAGAATATAATGACTGGATCTCTGACACTGAGTTATTGACTGGAGGCAAAATAGTTTACCAATGGAAACAGGATGGCCATAAGCGCTCCGCTCACAAGAGGAGAGAGAAAGAAAATGGCTAACACACAGGGGCTTCCTGAAAAACCACATAAAAGCCAGCTTTCAGTTTTTCCATTTTACTATAGTCGCCAATGGAAGTAACCAAGGAGAAAAGGTTTACCAAAACCAGCAAAGAATGCCCAGTTAGATTCAAAGAATTCGAGCCTTTCTTCAAGAGGAATTTCCAAGAAATTCCACTTATATCTACGATAAAACCATGTATTTAGTGAGTTTGAAGACACTAGCTAACACTACTTTTTATTGGCGTCCTTGCATAGGCTCAAGTATAAATTGAGAGAACGGAACATACTCGTAACAATAGTAGGCATACATCCATGAAAGAAGTAAGAAACTCAGAATCTTCCCAATGTATGGTATAACGCCAACAACATAAACCTGGTTTTCACATCGGTTAACATACCCAAAGGAGTGAATGATCATATACATTTAAACAAGGTTCACAAAGGTAAAACAGTTTACCTCCATAAAGAAAAATGTCAGGAGTAGCATCGAATACACCTGCTCTCCTATACCAATCATCACCCTGAAAATAATCATGGAACAAATCGAAATTGGCCTAACACCTAAATTTGGTTTCTGCTTTTTGATTTTGAAGAAGTGATTTGGTAGAGAAGTACCCTCCAAGACCAGAAGGTCTTTCAGCATTTGTCATGTTCACTGACGCAGGAACTTCACACTGTCTGAATGTTTCTGCCGAGCTTAAGTCAGATTTTCCAATTGCCTCGAATCCATACTTTGCAATATCATTATACCTGAAAGGTCAGGTGGTCTTCATTACACTCAGTGTTCACGGAGAAGAAAGAAGCTAAGAATTATCAACCCAATCAAACGAACTAGCTAAAAACATTCACAGTCAAATCAAACGAGCTAAACAAATTTAAATAAACAAAGTGCATAAAATAATGGAAAACTGAATAAGTTTGTTTTATCAACAGGCAATTCTCACTCCGGTGTCAACTAAGTCACATCGTAATAATAACATCTCCGAGAAGCAAAATAAGAAAGGAAAAAAAGGTTAGGATGCAAGAAGGCTACCAGATGTTACTTAAAATGAAGCTGAGCATGTACAGAGGATAGAACCAGAATACCTGTAGTGTAATAAAAGTGTTCTTTCCAAGTCAGCATACACAACCCCCAAAGATTAAGCTACAATAAATCTCAAAGGCAGCAGTAAACTTACGTAAAATAGCTGCAAAAGACCACCACGTAGAAAGGCATAAGATCCATTATACGAACAAAAGTCTTGAGACGTGACAGGAACACATGGGTCAGGTAATATCCACTGAAGGGCTGGATTAACAAACCACTTAAAGACGCCTAAACTAAAACCAAATTAAAAAAGGAATATGTAAGATAAGCTTAAAGTATTGAATCTTAAGACACCAATTCTCAAGTCAACATCTCAAGAATCTTTTAATTAGGTCTCAGCCTGTCCGAATTGAAAGTTGATTGAACTCATCACAAGGCCGTTGACATTTACCTTCCTAAGAAAATCAAACCATTCAAAAGAAAACACTGCCCCGTTCGTAAGAGGAGCTTTCGCGACCTAATACAATCGGAAAATTATATTGTAAGATTAGATGGAAATCTAAGTTTATGAGGAAACAAAATCTGAGGAACGTACCTGTGACAGAGAATTACAACACGGTGGAGTGAACAAGCTTCAAGGAAACCCTCGAGCCAAAGCAGCATCACCTGCTTCGATTTTGCAGTCATCTGCTATATTATCGGCTTAACGATTTCAAAGCGAAGAGGATGACGGAAGACGATGATCAGACAAGTAAAGCTGTTTACGCTTTTCTTCTTTAGAAAACTAGATGACTAAATCGCTGCGAATTATATATGAACCAAGAGCAACCCTGCCCCGCCCGCATCTGTCAAAATGGGTAAACCAAACCATATCTAAGTATTTGCACCCTCTATACACACAAAACCACTAAATTAAGATTCTACCCTATTTATTTATATCTCTCTCTTCCCCCACATACCAATTTTTCCTCACAATTCTTAAATATCTTTCTCTTTTTGGGTATTCACCCAATTCACCCATTTTACTATGGGAAACTAATATCAATTAACTACGTCTGGTATTGAGAAACATGTCAAACTCGCTTTGTCTGACCGGCATGACCCGCAAAGAAAATATATTTTATCTGCATTTGTCTCACTTAATTTTATGAATAATCCGCGGAACCCGCATATAATTATTAAATAATAAAATAATGGTTTTTATTATTAAATAGTATATTTTTAATTAAATTTTTAATATTTAAAATATAATAATTCTTTTAATGAAATTTAGTATATTTTTGAAAAATAAACTTTTTTAAATCAAATTTTTTTTTTCTATTTTTGTGGATTACCGAATACCCACAATTGAAATTAGAACAATCTACACCCGTTCCGCGTAAAGTACACTTGACCCGCACCCGTAACTTATTTTTTTCCAAATCTATCAACTCGTTCTGTGGTGGGTCAAACGGGGCGAGACTCGCTGGCTAATATCAAAATTCTCAGCTCTAACTACGTCTATTTAGGTAGATGTGTTTATTTTTAAAGAAATTTCAGAAATAATTAAAATTGAATTGAACTCATGAATGAAACACATTAGTATATAGTTTTTAGGCCCAAAAAGAAAAGAAAAATTGCCTTTAATGAAAAACTAAATTTGTTCATAAGATTAAGGGTAAATTTCGAAAAAATAAATCATTCATTAATAGAATGTTTATGTTTTAATGATATTTATGAGTTATTGATTATCTCAATATTGCGTTAACTTATAACTCATTTAAATTATTGAGTTAATGGTTTTAATGGTTTATCCACAAATAATAATATTATACATTAAATGATTATTAACTAAACACATAATTCTGGACTATAAAAATATAGCTTAAATTATAGATTAAACTTTGGAAAGAAGTGGTTTTATGGTACAATTTTTTTATTTGATGGGAAAACACGATTTTACAATTTTGGTGAGAAAATATAGTATAACTTTTTGACGAAGAAATTTGAGTTTGCAGTTTTGACGGAAAAAAATCAATTTTGCAGCTTTGGTGGAAAATTTTAATTTCTGATTCTGGCGAGAAAACTCGATTTGGGAATCAACGTTGATCGATGGTACAATACTTTCTGCATCGATCAATTGAGTGTTTCAGTGTCGATCGATGCTTGTCACTTCTACTGAAAGATGCTACGTTCAATGGCTACTGGGTCTAAGAAGATTATGTCGTTTTCTATGTTGCTTCTGATTCTTTTGGACATGCACCTGAAAGACAAGAAATAAAATATGTAAGTACATAAAAATAAAAGAAACCTAGTCAAAACTTGTAAGAACAAATCTTATGGCAAATCTTTGCTCCCTAGCAACGGTGTCAAATTTGCTACGTGCTCAAATTACCCTCGATCTAGTGATTATTCTCTCCAATAAGAGGTTCAGTTGTATTACTTAGGGATCAAATCACAGAGAATGAGAGCACACAATAGATTGATATCAACTTAGTTAAGCTAGGCAATTTATATAGATGTTGTAAATAAGTAAATAGGAAATAGTTGGATTGTTGAAAAATAAAGAAAATAGCTAGATTCAGGGTTTTCAAAATAGTGAATCATAATAGATAGAACAGTGATGGATTTTTAATCTTAGAATACGAATTCAATTGGTAAATATATAATTCATATCTATTTAGGATTAAGCTTTGAATATACTACTTTGGCATGTCTAGTCGGATTGATTGGCTTTCTTAATTGAGCACTAAATAGACCAGATTTGTTTATCACCTAGAACCACTAAACCAACTTTCATATGTATCTAGTATTCTATGCTCACAGTAGATTATTCAGGTATCGATCAAGCATGTCATTATTTTTAATATCCTAGTATACTAGATAACACTAGTAAAAAAAGGGTTTATGGTCTGCTTTATCCAAAAAAAAAAAGAAACTAGAGAATGACAAGAACCTTATTTTACTACCATGGGGATAACTCATATTTATAAAATAATGAGAACATAAAGCAAAATTACAATACCGAAACTAACGAATAAAGAAGAATTGCCGACTCGAGATGATTAATCTCTTTCCTTAAATCTTTAAACACCCTATAGTGTGATGGTTTCACAGCGCTCAGATTCTCAGAATACAACTGCACAAATTTTCTGATTTGCGTCACTCTATCAGAAGTCGAACGAAACTAATTTTGTGATGTACTCTCAAACTCTTAAAATAAAATAAACTCTAAAGTATTCATATGGGAGAATGTGACTTTTCTTTTGGTAATATTGTATGTGATTTTCTATAATGCTAACAAACGATTTTATAGAAAAAATAATGTGATGCAAAAGTTTCATTTTCAACATAAAATGAAACCTCCATGGTACACTATTGGAAACTTTAGTTTTTACCAAATAATATGTAAATTTATTTTTCATTTTGACAGAAAAAATAAAGAATAAAATTATAATTGGTTGACCAATTCAAGCAAAATAATCTACTTTAAAATGGACTTATTTTTTATATTTTATCAATATAAAAAATCACCATATACTTAGTTTATAAGATTAATTTAATGAACATAAAGTCCAACTAACAAATCAAAAACCAAATCAGATCAAATATCTAATATGTGTATTTGTTACTTTGTATAAGTTTCTCAAATCACACACATTGGACATCTATTTCTTATTCAAATAAAACTCATTTTTGACATATAAATACAATATTCAAAATATCAAAAAAAATAGTTCCAACCGTTTTCACATAAATAGAAATGACTCTAGAGACTAGACGACTCGAAAGACTTGACTTCCTAGACAAAACTCTATCTAGGGACCTTTGTGAGTACAAACAAAAATCACTGCATGAAAGTGCATTTGGTAAGTTGATTCATTATCTTAATACAAGTATTTATACATATTTATTACTTAGAATTGATGCATGCAACACGCATTTATCACCATAAAGTGCATTTCGTTAAAGCCTATTGTACTCACCATAACTTCTTTTGATTTCATGTGATGCACGCCAGGGAACAGTGACACATCAAAGAAGTCTTAATAAACTTGCGGTCAAAGAAAGCTCAGTTTTTCTTCATTTATACTACTAATATGGCTTGCAGATCTAGCAGGCTGATTATAAGTAAGTGTTGAAGCTGCATAATTTTCTTTCCTCGCTGCAAGTTGTCACTGGGATGTCTCCGGTGGCATGAGGAGAATGATTCCTGTCTCAGCTTCCTTTTTTACTTCCTGTGAGAACAATGAACCAAATTACAAATGAAGAACCGGGGTTTGAAGTATCAGTTTATTCCTATTTACAGCTTTGATACAACAAATATATCGATGATGATAGCTTGCTGAAATACACACCTGTTGGGTTGGTGACTTATTAAGAGTTTAGGCCCTTTGATTGTTTTACGTGATTTTCTCGTATACTTAGATACTAAGTTATTTCTTTTCTTTATACCAAGTCTTCCCTGCAAAACAAATATTTAAATCTCTCTACACACGTGATCACATAGACATACATATAAACAGATTTTGTGAAATTTGATTGATTGCAACCTTTGTTGAAGTTCTTCACGGTACTTAACATCTATCTTTTTTTTAGAAGGGCACTTAGGTAATGTCCCAAGTGTAAGGTTTTGTGTTAAAGTACTAAAAGAATAGCAAGACCACATAAAAGACCAAACCATTGTCAGTTTAAAATATATATACATGACTATAACATCATTCGATATTTGACTAAAGTTTAGGGTTCTTTCTATACTTTTCACATGAGAGCAGAAGAGGCAGCTCCGCGTATGTCTGGATAGGATGATTAATTCCCATGAAGATCAATCGAATTTCTTAGAAACTCCTCAAATCTTTCACTCAGAAAACCCTCATATTGATGTTGTGGTCTAAACATCTTAGTTTGACAACGAAGCTGGTTCTTTTCCCATAATTTTTCATTTGGTGGTTCCTCAATCTACTGTGACAAACCCATACAAAACAGTCTGGAATGAGTTAATTCGGCATATTGTTTTTGGTCTCTTTATCACTTAGGTTCTTCTTTTAAGAAGTGGTCTTCTGATTAGAATCTCAGAGAAAAAAACAGCCTGAGATGCAATAACACATAATAAATCACAATATGTTTGGATATAAACTATTTCGTCTTAGTGTTTTGAAAACAAAAGGAACTAAAGAGCACAATTAAAACATAAATTAAAGAGCAGCAAACAGAAACAGAAATACTGAAGACACTAAAGTGGTAATGATGTTCAAAGTACCTGAAACCCATAAAATGTTTTAGATATCCACTGCGTTTTACGTTTTTGGTGTCTCAGAATCGGAGCAACCACACCTGAACGGTAGAGAAGAGAGTGACCAGCCTTTAAAACACCAAGAAGAACAGAGGAGTAAGCCATGATTTGTTTTTGAGAATCACAAAACGTGAAGATTATGTCAAGGGTAGAAGGCTTACCCTTTTATAGGTAAATAAAACCGCCTTGGAGTTAGATGAGTATCATTGAATGAGACGTTTTGATTCGCATCGGTTAATTAAAGCCAATGAATGAAGACAACGTTAGGGGGTTAAGGACAAAAAATTAAACGATGGCTGCTTGATACCAAGGTTCTCGAGGACGATTCATCTGATCCAGTTTGATCTCCATTGTTGTTTGAGCTCGTTCACTGCAGATAGAGATGGAAATTATGGATCTCGACCACGGTCTAGCCCGTAAATAACTGTCGTGGGACGGTATTGGGAAAAAGTTTTCTAGGCTCATAAATTTGTGGGCCTCGCAGAATGGATCTTTGCGGGACTTGGTCTTTTGCGGGATGGGCTTAAACGGATCCGTGGGATTAAAAGGACCCGTATTTTTTTATTTATTTTTTTAACCTGAAAAAATGAGAGGAACAGTGAGAAGAAGATGATTCATGTGATTTCTCCTAAGAAAACTGAAGGATTTCGGACAATGATAATGAGTCGAGCTTCAGTGATAATGCTTTGAGTTCCGGTGATGACGACTACAGCTCTGGCGATGCCGATTCGAGTTTTAGTAGTGTTTATATTTCGTTTCTTTTTTTATTTAATTTGGGATTGACACTTTTGATTTGGTGTTTGATTTTATTTAATTTTTGGATTCAGCAAACTCAAACATTGGTTATGAACTTATAAATTATAAGATAATGAAAAATAGCGTATGCAATTATCTTTACTTTGTATGTTAATATGTTTTGGGTATGATACAAATAATTATAATTATTGTTCTGAATAAAAAATAAGCAGAGTAATGATTGATCAATTATGTCAAGTTGAACTGACGACTTAAATTATGTCCTTGAGTGGCCTGAAGAGTTTTGGAGTGGCCTGAATCATTTTGCTACGTGTATTATCACATGTCTCGCGGGTCGACTCACCAAAATTTGTACATCTACCGGGACAAATTTGGGTAGCCACTCCAGAAACCGCAGCTCGCATGGGCCTGATTATTGTAACCGCTTAAAAGAAAATCCCGTTGCGGTCCGGGATAAGATGAGACGGGACAACTAGTTTGTCAACTCTACGTCTGCAGAGATAGAAGACATCTGATAACCCTAATTTTCACCACCATCTATCGCAAGAAAAAAAAATCTGTAGGGCTTTGAAATGGACAGACAAAATTAGAACATTATTTTAATCGTCCAAGCTCATACGCAACAAAACGAAAAGATCTTAACCCAAGCTAAAAAAAAGATACATATCATTTTCAGCTTCATCCAATTAATGACCTTGCACGTCAAGAAAGTAAGAAAGTGCACTTTATATATAGATAGATTTACTAGTTGACAATAACTATTTGCACTTGATTTTTTTTTGTTTTGTTTTATGAAAATGGGTCCTATTATATTTGTTGTATTTCCAATAGTATTCACTTAGCACATAAACAGATTATTTCTATTTGAAATGATAAAGTGGATATTTTGTGGATTGGTCTACCTGAAAAGCATTTTAGATCATGGTGTAGCCGTGTAGATATACTGGTGTCTATGTGTTGTTGGCTTGTTGCTCAAATTACTTATGTGATATTCTTCATTTATTTCCAGAAAATCAGTTGTATAATTACAATACATATTTGATTTATGCACAGCTTCTATCTTAAAACTAGAAACTGATTACAAAACAAGTATTATTATCAGAGTAAGATTTACAAATATAATTACATTTATACAATAATAACAATATATCTTTAACCTACAAAAGTTGAAGTCAATGTTGGTATATAACCCTCTGATAAAAAAACACTCAGAGTTGCGGTATGGTGTGTCTACCAATCACCAGGCGTGTACGAACCGTCCTCTCTCTAAACCCGGTTCAGTTTTCCTCTCCTGGAACTCATGAATCATTTTGATAAGAGCACTTGCCTTCCTCCCACCTCCACCACACTCGCCGTTACTTAACACCGTGTAAAGCGACCCCATAACCGACGGATCCTTAGCGAGCGCCCCAACGACGTCACTTCCCCCGTTAACACACAAATTCAAAATCAGAGCAACACAGTGCTGCTTCGTCGCCGGCGAAGCCTCCGACGAACCGAGAATCTTCACCGCGAGTTTCAACCCTCCACGACGGAGCACAGAGATCATCCCGTCGGGATACTCCGCGATTTTCGCGAGAATCGCAATCGAATCGGCCTTGACTCCGTCCCCGACCTCGCCGGATCTCACGAGATCCAAAATAACGGAAACGGCTCCAGCGGCGAGGACGCGCCAGTGATTATCCGAGTGTTGACTCAGCAAACTCCTAATCGCCATCAAAGCGCTGCGTTTCGCGGAATCTCCGTAATCACAACCTTTAATTATTCTCAACAACCCTGGAATCGAACCCGTGACCTCTCCGATCAACCTTCCGTAATCTCCGAGAGAAGATAAATAGAAGATCGCACCTGCCGCGTGTTGTCTACTCTCTCTCCTCGCTCCTTCGTTTAAAACCTCCACGATCGTCTCCAATCCGTAACCGCTTCCACCGATTCGAACTTTCCCGGCGATATCTTTCGATAGATTCAAAATCGCAGCCATGGCGTTCTCTTGAATCGTCGGATCTCCAGAACGAAGAAGCTTCATCAGCGATTCCACTACACCAGCTTCCACCAAACGAGATCTGTTGAAACCATTCGTCTTGGTGAGAATCCGAATCTCAACTAACGCCTTCACCATCTCTTTTGCTCCGCCGTTGATCAATTCTCCCGCGAGAAAATCTGCGATGAGTTTCCCGGCTTCTTCCGCCGCTAAACTCTCCGGAACACTCGACTTATTATTATTCTTCTTACTTTTAAAATCAATCTCTTGCTTGAAATAACTCTGAATCAGTTGCTTGACCGAGACGTTATCAACCAATACAGTACTCACTAGACTCTTCCCAGTCTTAGGGCACATGACGTTACCCGCGGCGAACCATTTCGCGATAGAGATACGATCATATGTGTGACCCGTTTCCAAAACAACTGGATCATTCATAATCTCTAGAGAAATAGGGCAACGTAGATCATCAACGTTTAAACCAAGAATATTTAAATTTTCTTTCTCATCTTCTTCCTCCTCATCAATGCCTTGGAGTATCACGCATCTGCAGTAGCATATGAATCCCATTAAGCTGCTAAGAAGTTCACTTTCCATTGTAATCTCTTCTTGTATAAAGCCAATCTCTTTGACGCAATCGCTCCATGTTCGGACACCAATGTGATCAAGAACTCGAATTACTTCATCCCGGTTCGGTTTAATCCGGTTCTCGAACAGATTAAAGATCCAATAGACTGAGTCTATGGCCCGTTTGTCATCCCGGTCGAGTCTAGCTTCGTATTTACGGGTCTGCCGGATTAATAGATAGATTAGCTCGTTGACTTCTCCAGGTAGGTCAACGGATCCTACTGGGAATGTGTCGAGGCATGTGGATATGGATCGGGTCAAGACCCGGAAATGAGCTGAGACTTGGTCCGAGTTTATCAGCATATAAAGCTTAGCTCCTTCTCGTGTACAGTCTTGTAATAAGAACTTGAGTTTCTGGAAGATGACGTGGAGCTCTGAGAGGCTTAGGATTGCTGAACGGGGAAAGGAACGACCCGTCATTATTGACCCGACCCGGATTTCTTCCAAGACGACCACAAGGTTGTGGATATGTCGGAGAGTTTCTTTGACGCTTTGTTTGTTGGTGGAGAAATGTTTTGATTTGAAGCTGAGAATCTCCCCGGCGATTTGTATCAGTGAGTTGATTAGAGTAGTTATGGAGACTGATTCGCAGGGATGTACTGCTGGGAAAGTTAGAATCTGACGACCAGAATAAATTTGTGTGGGTTTCATAGTGTGATAAGGATGAGGATGATATTTTCAAGTGTTTTGAGGTTTCTATGCTTGTGTTGTCAGCATATATACACTTCGTGTGGGGTTTCATTTTCAACCTTCTACAGATCTTCGACACGTGAAGAAGTCTTATTCGTCACAAAACTTTGGGGTCTGTAAATCCGCCACGTGATATGCAGTGGCGAAGATGTGTAAGTGGGACCAATTTGTGTTGAGTGCATGGATGGAGGTAGCCGACAATTTTGTATGACCTTTCCGATATTTTTCCTCGTTCAGTTATTTATTTAATTTCTTTTTGTTTTCTTATAGTATGCCACGTTTAGAACTAACACGTATTTCAATTGATTGATTGATCCAATGATGTGAGCTCAGGAGACTTCTACGAAGTTGTGAAAAAATAATTTAACGAATTTGTTTAGATATTTAATGGGTAAAAATTTTTAAGAAATTTTTTGTAACTCTTTTAAAGGATTTTCAGAATTTCATACATAATCGAATATGTTAACATAATACAGTTTCTATTTGGATAATAGTAATACAATATATTTGGCCGGATAGGAGATAAACTATACGAATTATCCATTACAGCAAACGCGGCATCGAACAATTTTCATCCAAAACAAATAATCATATATCTAAACCCGTTTAAAATCAACCACAGAGAAGCGGACACATAAAGGAAGGAAAGTACGGTTAAGATAACCAGCACCGGACAGTTCATAAAACCATCCGTAAAACGGACCCCGGTTAACAAGCTGATCGGGAACAGAGAAATCAAAACCGGATGCATTCCCCGGTTCACCCCGAATCTGTGTTAACATGTAATACGTCATGTCCTTTGGGAATTCTTCTTCATATAGGGCATCTCAACTAAACAACAATAAGATAACATCACAACAGTAGATACATAAAGGTAATAACCAAATGATGGTCATTATTAATGAAATAACCTTGATGCGATCTGTATTTTTGTGATGTTATTCTATGGTTCCTGATGGTCATTATTAATGAAATAACCTTGATGCGGTCTCTATCAAATCAAATACAAATTCTATCTAGGCTCAGGAAAATATGGGTAGAGATGGTTATCAGCACGAATCAGAGTGGTGCATGACATTCTCAATCATCACTGCCTTCTTACGAAACAAAACACAATAACAAACTAGTAAGCCTCAGAATTGCAGAAGAATCATCAATTAATAATCAGTCCCGAAAGATGGTGTTCTTTTATAATCTGATGTCCTCATGGGCTTTAAAGACTAAATCTAAAAATTTAAATATAAATAATGAAATATCGATCTCATGGCCGGCCCAAACGGTAAAAGCAGCGACGCCGCTCCGCAGAGCAATGAAATATGAGAGCCCAGGCGTTAACCTTGGACGGAGAAGCCATAAAAGCTTCTACAACGTCTTTGCTTTATGACGTTTACTCGTTGACTATGCAATTACAGGATTCAGATTGCTCCATTAAGAGAGATTTCTGGAGAGAAATCCCGTCAATAACAAAAAGCAAAAGAAATAAATACAATAGAGATTCTAACAAAGGGCGTGAACTGCGGTTGAGGGAAGGAGGAAGAAGTGGTGATGGGAAGGAAGCAAGTTCTTGGTGTTTATTATATAGATTGAGAGATATTAGGGATTCACACCGCCTTAATTCTACAAACTTTATGTTAGTTAAAACTTAAAAGGGCTGGATAAATGTATCATATAGCCCAACTGTAGCCCGATACTAATTTTTTTTTTCCTTTTTTTAAACACAAACCTACTAATTATAGTAAAAAGACCATAAAATTTTCTTAATTTATAGAGTTTTTTTTATTTATAAAAGTTTCATATTTTAAAAATATTTCTATTCTTAGAATGTTTTTTTATAAAATAAGAAAAAACTATTCATTTCATCTTATATATATTAGTTAAGTTTAGAAATTCGACTTTTATATTGTATTGTTATAATATTTGATGTATATGAAATATGTTTTCTAGAATTTTAATGTATTTCTATGTAATTTTATTAAATTATCTAAATATATTGAAGTGTCAATAAAAATAGAACTTTGTCCTTTGCAGATCGACTTCCTCTTATCAAAACTGCCATAATCATCACATTAAATTTCTGGAGCTCGGCTTTCCTTCTACCGAGAGGTTGCCTTGAAACTATTGATAGCATGTGCAGTGCCTTCCTATGGTCTGGTTCACCAAAAATAACCCATAAAGATAAGGTTTCTTGGGAAGAGATTTGCTATCCCAAGGAAGAAGGAGGATTAGGGCTTCGTAAGTTCAGAGATACAGCTCATGTTTTCGCCTTGCATCTGATATGGCTGTTATCTTCTCAAACTTATTTCTTCTGGGTGGAATGGACTAAAGAGTATTTACTAAAACATGGGTTCTACTGGGATGCTCTAGAAGGTTCAGCTGGTTCTTGGACATGTCGAAAGTTACTAAAGTTGCGTTCTTTGGCGTATGAGTATCTGAAGTATGAGGTTAATAATGGGAGATCGTTTTTTTTTTTGGCATGACAATTGGCTTGGAATGGGAGAGTTGTTGGATGTTACTGGTGACATAGGTATTAGATACTTGGGGGTTGCTCGGAACGCTACCATCTCTGATGTTATCACTGACAGTGGCTGGAAGATTAGAAGTAGAGGTCAGAGGCAATTTCCCTGAAGTTTACGCAATGCTGGATGCTGTCCATATCCCTCCTTCGACTGCTGGAGCTGATGTGGTGTTATGGTGATGCGATCAGAATGAATTTCAAGCTAGCTTTTTTTTCAGCTAAGACTTACGCACTATGAAAAAATAAAGTTGCTTGGTGGAAGCTGGCCTGGTTTAGTCAGGCTGTACCTCGTCAATCATTCATGGTATGGCTGGCTATTCAGGACCGATTGTTGACTGGAGATAAAATGAGGAAGCGGGGTGGTGAGCAATGTTGTATGCTGTGTGGTGAGAAGAACGAAACTCGGGATCACCTTTTCTTTGTGTGTCCATATTCTTTTATGGTCTGGATAAAGTGTGCCGGTAAGCTAATGTGAACAGCCATCACACCCGATTGGAATGATACATTAGCCTCTTTGCTGCAACCTTCTCACAGTCAGGTTGATTCAGTGCTTGTGCGTATGGCGTTTCAGAAAGTGATCTATGCTCTTTAGAAGGAAAGGAACTCCCGACGCCACGGCTGTCTGTGAATAACAATGGATAGGCTCACTAGTAATAATGACAAGATGATGCGTAATCGTATTTCCTCTCTTCATTATGCTGGGCTTCATCCTCTAGAGAGCCTTCTCAGAAGATGGTTCCAAGTTAACTAGGAACCTAGAAGTTCCTCATTCTTTATTTGTTTTTTTTCTTTTGAAGATAAACCCCACTTTCCTCATTAAATGTTTTACCTATATGATCAATAAATTTGATATTTAATCAATTTTTTTTATTAAGTTATGATTTTGGGACTATATATTACATATGATTTTCTAAAAAATATTATTTTGTTATTTTATCGATTATATCATATTTTAAACTTGTTCAACTCGAAACCAAATAAATTTATTAATTTATCGAGTATTATTTTTATTGAGTTTATACTATATTTGAGTAATTTAGCTCAATATAATTAATGAATCTGAAATGGGATCTGATATTTGTACCAAAAGTAATCATATTACCCAAGTTAGTTTGGATATTTTGTATCCAAACTTAAAATAACCTTTAACTAACCAAAAATAACCATATTACCTGATTAGATTGGAGTTTGATTATTATTTATAGATAGAAAAATATTTAAATAATCAATGTACAGTTAATCTTGAGGAAAAATACATATGAATTAAAAAGAAAATCTTAAAATTCATTTTAAATTTGGACAAATACAAAGTATTGCAAAAATTTAATAAGAAAACTTCTTATACAGAACTCTTCCATTTAGATTATTTTTACAATTACAAATTAATGAAGGAATACTTGTTAAGAATTTTTTATTTTTTAGCTAGCAGCCTATTTGAGAAGTATTCCTTTGTAAATATTGATTTAATTTTATATTTAAAAGTTTCTCGATAATTTCTGAGAAGAATTCTCTTCATTGATAATCATGTTAATTTTGTAAATGACCAAAGTTTTGCTGATATTTGATTTAATATAGAAGACTTCTTTAGATATTAGACTTTTAATAGAACACTACTTTAGAAGTCCTCCTATAGTAGACTTCTATAGAAGTCTTCTTACAATCACATGAAGTCTTGGAAGTGTCACTAGAAATCTATGTAAGTTACTTTTGCAACTGACAATGTTTAATTTTTTTTAGAGCAGCTTCTAGAGAGTAATTCTAGTGACTTCTCAAAAATATGCTTTCAAAACCAAATGTTTGACTAAAATCACAGAACAAATTAGAGAAGCTTTTAATTAATATTAAATGTTTTACATTTTAATGTCAATTGCAAAACTAACATATGTAGACTACACTTCAGAGACTTCATGTGACTGAAAAAAGATTTCTATGCAGTACGCTACTTCAGAGACTTCATGTTACTGCAAAAAGATTTCTATAGAAGCCTACGCCAAGAATTCTTTTCTGGAAGTCTTCTATAAAAAAGTTAAATATCTACAGAACTTCTGTCAACTGCAAAACTAATCGACTTAGAGAAGTCTTCTCATTTTTCTTTCAAAGAAAAGTTAGAGAAGTCTTCTATAAAACACAAAAATAGTCAATATGTTAGATTTGCATAAAATAGAATATCATTGCTAGAAGTTTTTTTCGCAAACTGATTTTCGTAAAATAGAATATCATATCTTGAAACCTTGATATATCTTGCTTAGCTCTCCAAGAAGAAATAAATTCACCTCGAAAGATATCCACTCATTATTGACCAAGAATCATGCACTTTAATGACCTATAATAAACTTATAAATTTCAAAGCTAAATGTTGGGCTTTTGGGATGAATTTAGAGAGAAATAGAAAGAGAAGTGCTTTGTGTGGATAAAAAATGAAACAGAGTATATCTACATTTATGTGCATTTAGAGCTAAAATTGGTGTTCATATTAACTGGTATATTGATGATGATGGCAGTATTATAAATACATGATGAAGATGTTGATTATTAAGTAAAACAATCATTTTTGAAAAAAAATAATGGTAATTTTGTGAATAACTTGAACTCTTAAGATGAATAGGACAAATGATTTTGTTTTTAAAAAAACAAGTTACTTTTTCATTTGACCAAGAATTTTAGGTCATTTTTGCAAAACTCCCATTTTTATTTATCATAATTTAGTTTAAAATTAATTACTTATATATATATATATATATCTAGATTCTATAAATATTAATTTTAAATACATTTAATTTTAATAATATTTTATTCTTTAGTTTATATCTAACGTTAGTATATATATACTGAT